ACCGCACGGTTCAAAGGGAGTTTCGCACGACGATTCGCGGTTGGAACACGCACCCGACACCGTGCCGGTGAACAGCGTAGCGTAGGAAGAATCGCTAGCGCCCCTGGTAAACTTAGACAAAGTTACCTTTCCAACCAGTTTAAGATTTTTTTATTTTTGATATTTTTTTTAACCTTTAATTTTTTAGTACACAATTTATACTTATAAGATATTATTACAGCGTTAATTTTAAATTTTGAACATTTGCTTTTCACGCTTTATGACTGGCAAAGTCATCGACAATTTCTTCGTATAAAATATTTTATTTAAACACCCTACTTTCATAATTGGATCATTAAATCCACACGTAGTGTGTACAGACAACGTCTACGTGCTTAAAAATGTATAATGAAAAAATTTCGATTTAATTGTAGGATAAAAATACGACTTTCGCACAATACCGCGCCCCAGGCGTAGGCACAGTTCGCCAAACATTTGCTACGCCACTGCTGGTGGAAATCCGTTGCGGCTAATGGTTGTAGTGATTGTTTTCAAGATGATATCAAGGAGATATTATGTTTAATGTTCGATAGGGTTTTTCGGTACGCGTATTTCGGCTCGCAGGGTATTCGATAGCGATCTATCAGAATAATTAATAATTTCAAAACAATACCCCGGTTGGGATTTTCTTATAAATAATATTCGATTGAAACAAAATATAAGCTGCGGGTACTGTCCAGCGATGCTTCGGTGTGGATGTGCAGTATGCGTACTACGTAGACAAGCTTTAACTACACATTGATGATATAACTGAAATAATAATAATAATAATAGCAATTATTATTACCGTAGTCGTTTTACACAGACAGAATGTAACAGAACGGAATCCAAGAAAAGAGGTGCCGTTTTCAGGCTTCTGAGTTCGTTCGTATAACATATGACAATAAACACGAACTGCCAGAAAGAGTAACTAGTTGAATCCAGAACCAGACGGTTTACGAGATTATAATTTAACTGAACGCGCACCGCTTGTTGTGTCATTATTACGTTTATTACGTACACGCCCGCACACGCATTCTGCCATCCCCCGGAGCGAGTAAACGTTTAAAAAATCGTACAAAGTTTAATTTCAAAAGTCGATTCGATCACAGAGGGACATTCGGCGCACACTAGATTGCCGCGGACGCACCGCACAAAAACGTGTAGAGGTTTTATCTTTCGTATTATTATTGTACACGCATGCGGGCCCGTGTACGTACGAAAAGGACCCACATAAAAATTAGTTCACATGAAAAGTCATTTAACAAATTCTTTTGTCGTTCGGTTTACGAAAAGCTGATAAAGTATTCTACAGACGTTGGAGACTTGTGTGCGGTGAACGAAATTTAGTTGAATTCTCGATTATGGCCTTTTCGTCGCGGCCATTGCGAAAACAATGAAAACTCGCTGTTGTGTTCACACATGCATGCTATGTACCTTTGTACACGTTTTAGGCGTTTAATTGAGTTTTTTTAACGTGACTTACCACGCGAATGATATAGTATAATATTACGAATAACAATGTTTCGGCCGAGTATAGCGCAAATGTAGTTAATATTGTTACTAACAATTTGCATCAGTGGCGCCGAAATTATTTAAAGTTGTAGGGCAAAGCGATCAATACGTCCTATTCCGGACCTTCACGATTTTCCGCAAACCCCATATTAAAACCAGTGAAACAGATAAAAATGTGACCTATAAGGGGAAGGGACAATTCCGAAAATATAAAGTTCAACTGCCCTACATAAACATAGGTTTCAGCGACTATAATCTGCATCGTATTTCGATGATGTAAGGCTTTTGAAATCTTTGCACGTTGCCGATAATGAATAAGTGTGCTCGTATGAAGGGTGTATCGTATATGAGTAAACGTACAGCGTCATATCACGAGAATCCAATTTTAAATTGATAGACGTTTTATTACGATATTACGTCATAATATTATATGTTATATTATGTGCCGTGCGAGAGTCGTAATGTGAAAGTTTTGAAACAGTTCTAACACGCCAAGGATTTGTTTTTTTCGTCATTGCTTACCGAATAGTTTCTTGGCTTTTGCTCAAAATGGAAAAATAAAATATGTGGATAAAAATACAAACAGAACACAGATTAAAAACCGGGTGTTTGTGTGCACAGCACTAGTCTCGCTTCGTTCATCTTGGTTCCAATTTTTTTTTTTTTTTTTTTGTTTTGCATTGTAAATAAATCGTTGACATCGGAAACTGTATCTGTTGTCGTACGACCAACCGCTTGGTTTACCAATGTAATTACTGTTGAAGATACTTGTAGCTATCATAATACGCGTAGCACTCTATTCTTTTTCGATATTTTTTAAAACAATTGGGAATTTTTTTAATATTGCGTTTGCCTGTTTCAGTAAATAATAAAATATAATATTTTAATTGAGATAATGTTATGATTTCCTGTACTACGATTTACTTGTATATTTCTATCCAACTTCCAACTGTTCACTACACATCTTATCGGGCATTTCAATACTATAATAAATACTTACCATAATATTGTATGTTATGTGTGTGTAATTTTATTAAAAAGAAATTTTTAAAGTTGTCTACATTACGCTATTGATGAGTATTTTTTCATTTGCTCAATATTATTCGTACACATAAAATATAATACGAAACTTACGAAACAAAGAGATTTCTCGTCAGAAGTGATTGAAATAACTAAATTCGTTGATTGTATTAGAGTTTATTCGGTTACAACATGTATAAGTCGAATATCCGTTATTTGGAGAGTGTTTTTTTCAATTTTATTTTACTTGAGTGTATGTTGCAATGTATATACATTTAACTTAATTATAGTAACGGAAAATTGCATAATTTATTCATATCTTACACTTTTTACGTTTAAAAAATTGTATACGAATCGCATGTATTATATAAAATATATTGGTTATTTATCGTAACATATTGTACAGTCGAACACTAAATGAATTTCGGTTAAAAAAATGAATAATAATTGTAACCAGATTTTCTTTATATTTTAAATATAAACCACGATCCGCCAAGAAACCTAGGTCCTTTTATAATAATAATAATAATAAAAATAATAATCACGATTTATTATTCGTTCTATACGCGTAATAATAGTAATAATAATAATAATAATAATAGTCGTTTACGCCAGTCGGTTTAGACGTCAGTTTTGTTTTGTCTTTAATATTGATGATTGAAGTGTAAAGTTTATCGGAGTGAAATTCAGCCATTTTTTATGCGCTCTGACATTCGGATGATTTATTTGTTATTGTCTCATGTCCGTAATGTAATTTATGACAACGTTCGCCGGCGTCGTTGTCATTTGATGGAACGCGATGACGAGGACAAGACGACGAAGACGGTGATGGCGACGTGGTATCACGACGACTATATATGACGAGATAATAATTATAATTGTAGTACGCGGTAACAACAGTAGTAATGATAACAGTAACAACGACGGCGGAGTAGTACGAAAATACCAAAAAATATCTTTGTAACGTCTAAGGTAGTAATAATATATTACATTTCTTGTGCAAACGCGGTGCATTCGTCTGGTGATCCGGAACATATCATTATATTCAAAATGTTAAACATTCGAAAAGTCTAAACATTAACCTGGTCTTTTTGTTGTTCGGAACAATACGACAATATATCGTATCGCACACTACTCTTGTATGATTAGTATTGTACAGGCTCTAACCCAATGACAAAACTAAACATAATTATAACAAATCAAAGTAGTATTGATGCTAATAAAAAAATGATTGTATAACAATAACGAAAAGTGATAAAACTGCTGATTAAAAAAATAATGACGGTCGGTTAAGATCATTATTTAAATATTGTTTGACTATATTTTAATCGGTAAAAATAAAAATAAAAACCACATCGAACGAGAAAATGTAACGCTGTGTTCGTACTATTGGTGAATAGCCTTTTCGGTGTATTATGTAATCAGTAATATAACGAGTGACTTTGATTGGGATTAGGAAAGAAAGTTTTCGAAGGAAGTCGGGACCAAATAATAAAATACATGTTGAAAAAATATGATGCATCATATTTCGGTTTTCTCCTTTCAACAACAGACACACGATTCGAATACCGAAAGGACGCGGTTAATCGGACCAACGGGGTTGTCCAGGAAAATCGCATTATTACAAAACATAATAAAAAAAAAAGAAAAAAGAAACGGTAGAAGCAATTTTTTGAACACCTACACAAGCATGTGATAATGTAACATGTTCTAATGTGTCCGAGAGCGTTGGTTTGCACCTAAACTCGGAAACTTTCACCCGCTTCCACTGGTAACGCGCGTACCTATGACAAATTTAAATAAATTATCTTGCCACGTCGTTGTTGCACAGGGCATTGTACGCGACGTGCGCGCACGGTCACTCGGCAAACAAACACAAAGGCGCTCGTACGCACGAACCGAATTTTCGCGGCGATAGACGACGAGTAAAATAACAGCGAATTATGTTGTACGCGTAATTTTCCCATGACTTTTGATGTGTGTATACACACGGCTTCCCGTGCGTTCCCGGTCGACCGACCGTACACGTTTAGCACTGAACACATGACGTCAAACGGTATGAATATATGGCTGCGACACGATTGAGCATAAAACACCTTTTTTGCGACACGATTGAGCATAAATTGTCGGCGTATCAAAGGAAATTGAAATACAAAAGAAAACCAACACGATTGAGCATAAAAAACTCTGCAACGTTGCCATTTTCAATTTTGAACTGTATCGTATAAAAACATTTATTTAAATAATTATAATAAATCAAAATATAACATGACAAAAAAATATCATGTTTTCATAGTCAATATTTAATATGCATGAAAATACTTATGATAGTAGTATAAATAGCTGTCACAGTATATAGATATTTTTGTTAATAATAAAATAATAATAATAGTTATGACTTATGACTTATCAAAATAATAAAATCAAAATATTTATAAATAGTTGTCACATTCATATTATAATACAGTATAATATACCTAGCTAGATTTTTTGATAATAATAAATTAAATTGATACACCTTGGTATCTGCTTCCAATTTGACTTAAATAAATTAATAAAGATTCCGTATTCTTACGATTTAAAAACTGGCTGTAGGCTTGAATATTCAATTCATTTTTTTTTATTTCTTTTGCGGATTGTAATTTTCCAGGCTTGTGTCGAATTGAATTGATCTTAGTCGATGTTTCCGCTTGTGTTTCGATCAATACCCTAACGACTGTATGAACATGGGGGTGAGGTGAATAAAACTGTGAATTGTACGTGCGATGAAAGCTTTCAGCTGCATTGGTCGTTCTAAAAAAAATTAAATAAAACAATACAAATTAGTAAAAAAAGTTTTTATAATAAGTTTTAAAAAATATTGTTAAAAACCTTGGGTTTAGCGAAGGAGTTTCCGCCCAAATATTTGGAGGAAACTGGCAGTGATCTTCAATATAGTTGTGTATAATGTAATCAGAAAATATGAAACCGTCATCATTTGGACAAATTGATATTAACTCGTGAAATGCATCAACTACTTCTTCTGGGGAAATAAACGCCAAACCAAAAAACATTTTCAACCATTTCCCTAGTTCATTACTGTTGTCCATGTATGCTATTCTGAGTGAAGGTTCGCCAACAATCTACAAACAAATTATTATATTTTAGTAAAAAAGCACTATATTATATAACTGTTTCTTACTTTTTTCCACCATGATTGTCCTAAATGAAATCTACATCCAATTATTTTAATATTTCCAAACACGTCTGTAATTGCCTGATGAGCTCCAATTTCAAAATCAACATGAAATGTGTTAATTTGCAAACTTTTTTCGCATAATTTCAAACATAAATTATTTAAAAATTGCCACATTTTAATATAAGTAGACCTAGTTTTATTTGGTAAAAAAAAGTAAACAAGTGGTAAGTAGTATCCATTTTTATATCCATGTATTGTGTACAATTGAATAAAATATTTTGGAGCATAATTAAATGTGCCATCGCCAAAATACTCAGTACAATTATTTGTCATAAATTGTAGATTTTGTTCTGTAGTTAAACATACAAAATTATCATCAGTCGGCATGTAAATGAATTGTTGACCCTTATATTTAAAACATTCTTCATTTTTTAAGTCACTTAATTGATGAATTGTTTCATCCAAAGAAGTTGGTAATTTAGGATAGGTCTGCTTCCGTTTATCATACATTGCTTTCCGTACATTTCTTACATTTTGATTGTTTAAATTTGATGTTGGAGAAGAATTTAAAAGTTCGGTGCGAATAATTTTAAGTGGCCGTGTGTAAATTGATTCTTCAGCTTTTCTTTTGCAATTTTCTCTTAAAACTTGCGTTTCTATTTTCTCAATAGAATTTTTATCGTGATTATGTTGTCCAGCAGTTTCAATCACTTTACGTTTATCGAAACCCGAGAACATTATTGCCGAACATTTATTATTAGTACACCTCCATCTCAAAAGATTGTCTTTTTTTCGCTCTCCAATTAATTTATACTTGTATAAATTAACTAGGGCCAATTCTTTGCCTCTTTCCGATAAAATAATTGTTATATCCATATTTTAAAAAAATAGAAAAACGCACTAAGTATACACGCACTATACACTACACAGGTGATCGAACACTGATATTATTTCTATAATAATTTTGGATTTGTATCTTAATTATCTTATATTTTCCCCCGATGCTAAATGTTTAAAACGTCGTTTTGCTCCGGAACTAATTTATTAATCGATAACATTGTCGATAAAATTTATAAAGCCGATAAAGCTCACGGCTCGCGTCAGATATCATAATAATTGGTGTAATAATACGAGAAAATAATAAATTACAAAATTTTGGCAACGTGAATGTGGCAACGTCGCATAAAATATTCTATGCTCAATCGTGTTGCTAAAAAGGTCTATGCTCAATCGTTTTATGCTCAATCGTGCTTTACCGGAATATATTATCATTCGAAACGGTGAGCGGTATGAATAATTTAACTTTTTTTATTCTATTTTTTTTTTTTCCAATGTATCCAGTGTGTATACAGAGTGGGCCCATCGCGTTTGTCGTTTTTCCATCGCGTAAGCGTAATAGTTAACTCGGGAAAACACGGAGAACAGTAAACGCGAAAGAGTTCGAATCGATAGGAACAAAATTGTGAACAAAAATAATTGAACCGCAAGTGGACTCTAATAATAGTTTTTATAGCTGGGGCCATACACTTAGCTTTTATCATTGGCGGTAGGAATTTCGATTGGCGACTAAAGTATTGTCACGTGCCCAGGTAACAGCAGATAACGAAACAATAATTGTAATCGCGTGCGGTTAGAGCGTTAACAGTACACTCGATCATTACGTCCAATCATGTTAGTATACAAGTAGCGCGCGCGTACACAGTAAGCCCAAGAAAGACGGTCTCTGTTTATTGGGTTCAAGACATGCATTTTCGTTGCACGACCGTTTGTATTCGTAAATTAATTTATAAATAAATAAAAAATAGTTTATATATATAAAAATATTCCGCCTAGAGTATTGTTAAATTCGTAAATTACGATCGGTTTCTAATTAAAAATGTATCATAACAAGTTTAAACAGTCGCAGATTCATTACATTTTTATCTATGTAAATAAATTTTATGTAAATGATAAATTTTAAATTCGAAACCGGTCGTACTGTACAAATATAATAATACTCCAGGCTAACATTGTATTTATATATCTGTACGCGTAAACTATATATTTTTTTTTCTCGTGCCAGGCATACCACTTTTAAATTTTTTTTTTTATAACTAACAAAGTATATAAACTAAAACTGTAAATATAATTATAAAAAGACAAAAAATAGATAAAACAAATAAACTGATTATGATAATTCAATGTTACATAAATGGCAACTAATTGTCGTTTTCTGGTTCATACGGTTTCAGCCAGGGCTCGAAATGGACCGGAACGCAGTTCCGGTTCACGACAAATTTTTTTTCAGCGTTCCGGTTCGTAAAAAAAATACGTTTATCGTTCCGGTTCAAACAAATTTTTAGTGTACCTACCATATTTTGGTAAAATTTAAACATTTTGCAGAATTGTTCATGGTAAAATATTTAATAAACGTCAAACGACCAAGCGATGCATAAGTACATTTATTGCTTATCTATACGATAATCGCCGTCCACCGATTATGCATTTTAGCTTTATTTACACAATACGTATGTGAATTTTAAAAGTTAAAAATAAAGCATTAGGTTGTTTGATTTGTAAAAATATAACAAATTTTGGATTATCTGTTGTTGATATAGCATTTCGATTTTCCAAACCTTGTTATAGTTTTTAGAATTATTTATAAAATTGTAAAAACTCAAAGGCCTTTTGTTGATCCATCGAATGAAATAGATAATAGATTAACAAGTTTTAAATGGTATTAATTCGTGAAAAATTTTACACTCTGATAAAACGTCTATGGATTAGCACTATGTGGAGTGCATCGGAGATGAAAAAAAAATGATTTGCTAAAATATAATTTTAACTAAAACAGTATAAAATGGTAGGTACAACTTATGTAATAAAAAAGGCTTAGTATTTTAAAAAGGGGAAATTATAATTTTGGTGTGTTGAAGCCCCTAATTCTATGGTATGTACTAAAAAAAAAAAAAGTTCCGATTCAGAAAATGTTCCATCTCGAGCACTGGTTTCAGCCCTAGCTACGTCAATGGCGTTGACATTTTCATTCGAAACATCTCATCTTGTGTGCACGAGTAAGTACAGATTGGGCATTGCAGAATATGTTCATTGTCTGTTCCATCCCACATTTACAAGTTGTAGATGTTCCTCCAAGTAGTCACCATTTCTTCATATTATCCTTAGTGCGTCTAAGTCCTATTTTCATTCGGTTTGAAGTTCTCCAGATGGGCCATTCTAGATGATTTCCTGGTTATCGATGGAGATCCATGTTTTGTCTCTAATTTTGTTTCATATGGTTTCAATTCGGGTACAAGGAAAAAACCTCTGCGTGGTGTACCCGAGACAAAAACGGCTAACTTTTTCAAACACAGGCACGCACATCTGTCTAGGTATCCTCTTATACCTTTCATGGTGTATTACTTAAACTTATATGTTTATTCATTCGTATATTGTTACGATATGTTTTAATACGTGCGCCGCAGCGGTCGATTATAAAAAAAAAAAAATATTATTATTCCGCGAACGAATAAAGCCGCCGTCAAGTCGGTTGTTAGTGGGTTACGTACATACACGCGTGTAACATAATGCGCACACGACTTAGAAAAATGTTAATTTTCCGGAAAACGACGGGGAAATGTGCGCTGCGAGGCGCTCACGCGCGTTACGGTCGCTGACAGGTTTTTCGTGATTATTCGTCATCACGGTTTGAAGCCGGTTTTAATAACAATTTTAGATTATTATTGTGAACTGCACGCGGCCTTGTAACGGTTTTGTTATTCAAAGCGCTTTGCGGTTTAGCGTAAAAATCGTGTGGAAATCTATACGCTTTCCAGCGCGGCGCGCGCTCGTTTCGTGTGCCCTGAAAATGCGTGGTCACGCCGTTTAACCACTCGACGAACACGGGAATTCCTCGGGTGACAAGTGAGCTCCGGGGGGAAAAAAAAAAAATTAAAAATTAAAAAATAATAAAATATCAGATACACCGCGGTTATAGAAATTATTAATAAAACATAAAAAATAAAACTAAGAGGAACGAAATGGAAACAATACGCTCGCACGGGAACATTGGAGTGCGGGGGCGGGGAGAGAGGAGAGATATGAATAGACACGATTATTATCACCCTTCAGCGCTCATTACGTGCGGCGACGATAAGTTGGTCTCAAATCGGCCGCGCGACCCCTCCACAACGCCCCGCCGCCGCCGTCAAATGGGTTCTCGAAACGCGCATTCACGAATCATAAAAACCGCAATTTGCGGTCCCGTCGTAGATTTAATGATCATCGTACAACACGTGTATTTTAAAACATCAAGTGCGTATTTGACGAGATGCATCGAGAATTAAAATTTTCCCCACGCCCGTGTACACACGAGTTTTTTAATGATTTAATGTAGTGGATATTATATATATATATATATATATATATATATAATATAATGCAAGCTCCTACGTTCGTAGTATTACTGTATTCCGTAAGTGTTTTCACTTACGGCGGAAAAATATGAGGTCTTTTTTTTTTTTTTTTTTTGTATATATATTATCGGGGACTGCAGCGTTGAGCAGTGTTGTTCGTCTCTAGGTCAAGTAAAACATTTGAAAGTATAAAGATATTTACGATGCATTTCATTGTATTTTACGTTGGTCAGCAGTAGGTAAGTTTAAGTAGAGCGAAAACATTGATTTAACAATTAGGTTAAACTATATTGAAAAACACAGAAGACGGAGAGATCAAAAGATTTTCCGTGGTGGTCGTTCGAGGCGATCACTAGAAGCCTTGGCTAGAGGTCTTGTGCTACATCGAATTTTAAATTCATTTCGTTTTCGATTTGCATGGTGTACCAACGTCGAAGTGAATCCGATGTATACAACAACGTTGTGACAAATTTATGATATAGTTCAATGTAAACTTCAATAGATGTACAATGATTTAGTTAAAACGGTTAGGTTTTCGGAGCCAAAAACATTATTAGGTGAGAACTACAGTTGTTCAGATTTTCCGAGAGATAAAACACTGGCACATTATCGATCGGCGAGAGGCGTTCATTGGTCATAGAATCTGAAACCGTTTAAATTTTCTGTTGCAAACCTAAAATCCCCGAATTCATCGACCCCATAAATTTTTTTAGTTTTATCAATTCGTTTAGTCATTTAACGGTACGAAAAATATCCCACGTTCATTACGACCAT